TGGCCCCTCTGGAGCAGAATCTCACCATGACCCACATGCAGCAAACTGGCTCTGAGCAGGTGCTGCAGAAGAGTGTCCTAGAGACTTCTGTCTCTCTCTTTCCTCCTGAGAACACACAGTGCAAAATTCTCCCAAGATTCACAAGAGCTTCTGATTTGCAGAGTAACATTCAGGATTTATAAGCTCTGTAAATTTGACTTACAGGCAGATCCTTAAAGATAGATAAATTATACATTGCTCAGCTCAGTTTGTGGTACTGATAATCACCTGGAACACGTGTGGGCTTCAGCCTGCACTTGCTGAAAGTGAACAGTCCCACTACAGAGCTCAAAACCAAAGAGTTCCCCCGTGGAAAAATGTGATGAGCAAGTGAAAGTAGCACCATTCTGCAGGATGGACAAGACCACATGGAGCAGCTGTGGAAGAGCAGAGACTAAATAACACCTAGATCCTCACTATAAATTTCTCTCCAGCTGCCTCCATGGAGCAGAACTGAGTGTGAGCAGTTAACACCAGCAGCTGTATGGGAGGAGAATTAGGCAGGAAGGCACAGATCCATTCTCAGTCTTGTGTGTGGCATTTGGGCAGGGAAGCAACACAGAAATGGACTGAAGTCTTGTCCAGCTTTTGTCCTGACTTTATCTTGCAGCTCAGCATTTGCCTCTGCTCACTCCAGGCTCAGCACCCCCATCTGGCAGTGGTGTGGGTAGGAAGTCTGAGGGTTTCCCTCTCTGGGCACCATGAAAACTGAGTCACCAATACCCTGATCATATCAGGAGTAGGAAATCTCTGCCTTCCCATGTCTATCCATACTAAAACACAGTTATGCAAAGCAGCATAACACAAGCACAGTCAAGTGTGGGCAGGGGAAAACCAGGATCTTTCACAGTGTAACAGTCCCTCTGGTTTAGGAGTTGCCGAAGGCATCTTCCCTCCAGTGTAAACTCACAGCCATGAGCAGATGAATGGCAAGGCTGGTGTTTGAAAACAGCAAGTTTATCCTTCACTCACTCAACAGTGAGGCTGCCACATCTGGAGTAGGACTGAGTGGCTTCTGGAGGGTAGATTTAGATTAGATATCAGGAAGAAATCCTTCCCTGGGAGGTGCTGAGGCACTGGCACAGGTTGCCCAGAGAAGCTGTGGCTGCTCCATCCCTGGGAGTGTTCAAGACCAGTTTGGATGGAGCTTGGAGCAACCTGGGCTGGTGGAAAGTGTCCCTGCCCATGGCAAGGAGTAGAACTGAAGCAGCTTTAAGGTCCTTCCAACCCAAACCATTCCATGACTTTAAGATTACATTATTTATTTGTACCTCTTAAAATCAGAGCTGTTCTTGTATTCATTTGTGTCTCTGCTTAAGACACAAGGGACTGTGTCCCCTGAAGTCAATGAATATCCTTCACTCCTGTAGGATTTGGGTTGTCACACATCAGTGGCAAATGCTTTGAAGTGAAGGAATCTTTCCATCCCCCTATTAATCGTTAAAGCACTGAGGTTACCAACCACACATGGAAATCATTAAAAGGAGAGATCAACACAGAAGAGAATTTTTGCACAAACTCAGACAGCAGCTCATTCATTCTCTAGGTGCTATTCCAGCAAACATGATGGAACTCCCTCCCATACAAACACCACAATTAGTGACAGCAAAGAAATCAGGACTTACCGACCACAGAAAACGCAGCCAAGACGAGCAGAAGTTGCTTCATGAATAACTATGCAGGCTGGGCTGGGAGTGCAGGCAGTTGATCCTGTGTGCAGGTGATTCACCTTTTACAGGAGCTAAATTCTTTCTCATGAGGCCAGGTTGGATTAGGTGCTCCCTGACAGGCTGCAGAGCTGCTGTCCTGCCTGCACTCACCTCTGAGCTCACCAGCTATCACCGTCCGCGCGCGCCGGAACCAATGAGTGGAGACAGGAGCACCTCTCCCATCCCCAGTGCACACCTAACTGTACAAAGGTGCACAAGCCAGAGGCTTAGGAAATCCCTAGCTCTTGAAAAAGAGCCAGATACCTTTTGGCTGGTAGCTTCCTGCCTGAAAACCCTCCCCAAGGTTTCTGGGGTTTGAGGCTTGCTTTTCTGGTCGGGTAACTTCGGTTTGTTACAACTCTAGAAACTAAAACTTAGTGCTGTCCACCAAGTTGGTTTAAGAGCTATTTCCTTCAGGAATACTTTTCTTCAAACAGAAATCAGCCAGATCACTAGTTTTTAAGCTGTTGTTCATACTGACCTTGGATGGGAGCCAATGGCCAGCCTGTGCCCTGCTGTAGCCTGGGCAGAGCATGAGCTCCTCAGGTCTGCTCTCCCTCTGCCCTGCCAGGTGCCTGCAGAGGTTGTCTCACCTGAGGTGGGAAGGAGGTAGACAGGAGGTGGCTGTTCCGTAGGAGGATCACGTGCTGCCCCATGGCTTCTCCCAGAGGCTGCTGTAAACCTACAGTGTATTTTATGACTGTTTACATTACAAGGCTCTGCTCTGGGCACCTGAATGCCAGATGGTAGGAACTGGGAGCTGCTGTGAAATCTCAACAAGAAAGAGATACTGTTCCTTTGCCAGAGTGTTCTCGGTGTTTTAGGGTGGCATCAAGTTATATTTTCAGGCTTTTCTCAGGAGAGAGAGACATTTCCTTCTTTCATCTCAAGTGAAAACTACTTGCCTGCCTCCAGGAGATGCAGATTTAGAACCACCAGGTGTGTATAACACTGGGTCCTCTTCATGCTGCTTATTTTACCCAAGATGGGGAAAACTTCACACACACATTTGAGGCTTAGGGAACTCTCTTAGCCACTGCTTTTGAATTCTTACAGTATGGCTATTCCCTTTTCCCTTTTTGGGTCATCTCCCTGGCTGATTCCTCTGGCTTACTTTATCTCCTGCCCACAAACAGGGAGGTCCTATCCTCAGCCCTCAGTTTTGCCCAGGACTAATTGGACCATTGCATAAAGCTCAAGTTCCACAAAGCTCCAAGTTCCACAAAGTCCAATGGGACTGTTGCTAAGCACTGAGAACACACAGGACAACTGTGCATTAGACAAGTTCCTTATAGCAGTGCTCTTCTGTTGCCTAAGGCCTTTTTAAAGCTCTTAAATGTCCCATGAACAACATTTGAGGTGTCCTGTGCAGGGCCAGGAGTTGGACTTTGATGCTCCTTGTAGGTCCCTTCCAGCTCAGGAGTTTCCATGATTCTGTGATCACACCTACAGCCAGTTTAATCAACACACAAACCCTGGGTGCCTCTGCAGCTGGAGCACATTGCTCACACTCTTCTGTCCTTGTGGCCAAACACGTCATAGAAATTTCTACCCCTTCTGCTTCTCTCTTCATCTAGTGGGTTTTCTGTTCCTGAGGTTGGTTCTGTTCCCTGCCCTGCCTGGATACTAACAGGGCTCTGTGCTTCCAGCCAGGCCATGATGCATAGCTGGCACTTTGTCTTACTCACCTCACCTGGACAAGAGCAGAAGCCTCACAGGTTTATTAAACAAGACACACCTATCCACCAGTGTGGCTATGTCTAATTAAATACAACTTTGTTAGGGTGTTCCCTGAATGTCTTGCTAAAGTATTTCCATTTTTTTCTCTTCCCTCGTGTCACTGCCTTATGCTCCTGCTGTGATGACCCGTGATAGGGCAGAGGTGAGGGACTTTGTGGTGCACCTGAGACTTTAGTTTTGAGACTATAACTTGTATTTCTGCCCCTATTTCCAGTGAGGTGTTACCTTTTGAATAGCCCAGGAAACACCTCTCTGAATCTTTAGGTACCTGAAGATCTCCAAAAATTCTGCCTTCAGCTTTTATTTCAAGCCCTGGTGAAAGAGTGGGATGCTCCTCCACCAGTACAGCTGCCCTGGGCTCCAACCTGTCCCTCAGTTCCCTGGAAAAGACAAAGACCTGATGCCAGGCCTGTTCGAAGAGCTGTGGCATGTCAAAATAATTCTGTAGAGATTACACAACTTCAGAGGTTCCTGTAACTCCAAGCCTGGGGTTTTTCCCTTGATTGCACAAGGAATTGGGTGGTGATTGTATCTGGATCATCTGTATCTGTCTGAATGAACTGGAAGGATTACAGTGCAGGATGTACCTAAGGACACTTTGCAAAGGACAGCTGAGAAAACAAAAATTCTAGCTGATGAATCTTCCCTCCTTTTCACTTGGTTCAGGACTTTAATTAGTACAGCTTGCTTCCCTCTTTCAAAGCAATTCCCAACCCCTCCTATCATCCCCTGCAGCTTTCTGGTATTGTTCTCCTGATTCTCTAGAGGCTTCAGCTTTAATAGCCTCCATCAACACCCTTCCCTCACTGAATGCATAGAATGGCTGGGGTGTGTTTCCCTCTTTCTTTTAGTGCTTTGCTTTTCTGTGTGTCCTTTACACAGAGGCTTTTATTTCCTACTCAAGCATAAAAAGACTTTTACAAGGGCATGTAGTGATAGGACAAGGGATAGTGGCTGCAAAGTGACAGAGGGGAGATCTAGGTTAGATATTAGACAAAAATTGTTCCCTGTGAGGTGCTGAGGCACTGGCACAGGTTGCTCAGGGAATCTGTGGCTGCTCCATCCCTGGGAGTGTTCCAGGCCAGGTTGGATGGGGCTTGGAGCAACCTGGGCTGGTGGAAGGTGTCCTTGCCCATGGCAGGGGGTGGAATGAGATGATCTTTAAGGTGGTTTCCAACCCAAACCACTCCACAGTTCTATGATTCTTTGCTCAGAGAGAGGGTCACAGTCCTTGTCTTTCAGTCACCAGAGTGACCTGACTAGGAAGCCTCACACTATTCCACTCCAAGCAAAACATGAGGAAGCCCCTGAAGGAATCCTGTTTTCAAATGTGAAGTTTTCTAGGTTGAGCTGCAGTCACCTAGTTTTGGAAAGGAAAACCACACACACATGGAATTATATATCAAAATATTATATTTCTCCCAGACGTTCTGCACAGCAGGAGGAGCTTCAGCTCCATAATTATATTTGTATAAAACAAAATAAATAAACAAGCAAAAATGCTACACATTTATCACTTATAGGTCAGTTCCCTCTGTTGGAACACAGAAGATGATCACTGTAGGCTGAGGTGGAGAACTCTCCATCCCACACAAAGCAAATGTTGTTGAATGACTCTGTAAGGTACTCCCAGTCAAGCAGAGATGCATTTCTGCAGTTACAGAGAGGCAAGTGTGACATTAGCAGTTCAAAACCTGCTCCAAACCCACATGAAGGCTCAACACTGTGTTCTCAGTACCCAGCTGATGGTTTCACTCAGCTCTGGGTTGTGGCTTTGCCTTTCATAACTCACAGGTAGCAGTGAAGCCTCGAGGTGAACACAAGGCACTGCCTGTTTGCTGTGTGATACCTGCCTGAGATAGCCCTGGCTGCCTCACCCCTGGCTGGCTCAGGCAGTGCCTCATGCCAGAGCCTGAACACCTTATCACAGCTGCACTTGGCCAGAGGAACAGTGAGAGTACAGAGGTTACTTAGCAATTGAATACACCTTTTGTGTCCCTAAAGCCACATGCCTTGACAGGCCAGACATCAGCAGAGAAAACCCTCATTTGTCCTTGACCATGCTTAGGTATCCTTGCCTGGATATCTGGAGCTCTCAGTCCTTTTCCAGGCACACCACAGACCTGCTGGGTACTCTAGGTCCTTGCCATGTAATGTCTGTGCTGGTAGCCTCTGAATTGAAACTTCTGATCATGTTTCTCCTCCACATGTGAAGTTTCAAAGGTGTCACTCAGCACTGTGGGTGTGGGTGGTGTCCCTTCGGTACAAGTGTCACTGTCACAGTCACTGGCAATACCTTCATCTTCTGCCACCTGCAGCGTGTGGAAAGGGATGAGCAGCTGGATGTTGGGAACCTCTCGGGGCTGGGATGCTGCACTGATCTGGACCTGCAGATCAGCTATTGATTTCTGGTAATACTTGGTGAGATGCTGAGACTTCCTGTGCAGGTAGTGCTCATCAGGTGGATGTTTGGCACAAAGCCTCTCTGTCAGGGGTTGAAGGGGAGTCATTTCCAGGCATTCATCCACCTCTGCCTCGTGCTGTTTGTGTTCACTGGCACCTGGGAATCTCACATCAGTGAGGGATATTCTTCCTAAAGAGGAGCTGTGAGAAAGGGATGTCTCCTCATTTGCTTGGGATCCCGAGGTGTCCACCTCATTCTCTGCCTTTGGAAAGAAAGAGAAGCCCAAGGTACTGAGGTCAAGCACAGATTCACTGGCCACAGAGAGACCTCCAGTTCCTGAATCCAAGCTAGTTTCCCCCTGAGCTGATTGGGATGGTTGGTAGTTGAGATGTCTCTTTGGAAGCCGAGTCACTTTGTTGTATGGGATGAAGGTGCTGCTGTCTTCCTCCTCACAGGGGGTCAGCGACGACAACGACGACAACGACGACGATGATGATAGGAAAGAAGCCATCCATGGTAGGTTGTTTCTGGCTAAAGCTTTGTTTGTCTTCCTTTGTGGCATTAGCTTCTCTGTGCAGCTCAGATCATCACTGCAGAATTCCTTTTCACTGGGCTCCAAGTAAAAGGCTGGTCCAGCAGCTTTCAGATGAGAGAAATCCTACAGGGAACAGGAGGGAGACAGGGAGTTATGAGTGTGACTTATGAACTCCTCCCCAGTTGCCCTTTGAAAACCAGCAAGACTGTGAGTCAGGAGGGAACCCCAGAAGTTGGGCCGTACCAAAGCCTGAGGCATCTTCCTTTGCTTGGCATCTTGTTTCAGCAAGCAGATGATGAAGGGACTGGTCAGAAAGATGGGGAGGACAACCACAAGGATCGCGACCTTCCACTCCACTGCTGAAACAGACAGAAGTGATCTCCTGTTGGTATTTTTGATAGCAATTGTGGGTTCCTTACTCAGCTGTTCTTTGAGAAATCTCAGGAAATGTTGGGCTCAAGATCTTAATTTTGCAAATGCAGAGAAAGAACAGACTTGCCTAAGATCAGACTCTAAGGCAGAGTCACAGCCACAAATTGATACTAGCCAATGCCTTACTTGGATCGGGGGGGAAAAAAAAGAGTTCATAAAAAAAAAGTCACATATTTTCTCCTAAATTTCCTCATGAGCATAACCCAAGTACAATATTCATGAGTTTCAGATGATATTTCAGGGTTGGTTTTTTTTTAGACCATTTTCTGTGTAAACCAAAGGAGTTCATCATTTCTACACAAAGCAGGAACTGTTCACTAGAAAATCCAACCAGTCCCATTTTTTTATGTCGAAAAGCTAATTTTGGTGGAAACTTTTGACTTGCCCTAATCCCATTTGGTGTCTCTCCACCTCCTTTCCTGAGAAGGGCCATACCTCTGTGGTTTAGGGGCACACACACTGGCTGGGAGAATTCACTGTACTTCATGTTGATGCTCTCATAGAAGGATCTGGCACTCAGGCAGTAGATGCCTCGGAGTGCAGTGGTGTTTAAGGTCAGTGTCTCCTTCCTGAAGTTGCCTTCATATTTCTTCTGTTTAGGAACAAAAAGAGCAGAGGATTGGAAAGATGATTCTTTCATTCTCTGGGTGGTGTTTCTCTGCCATTTTAGCCTATGGTTCCCTTCGTTATGTGTTGTTGCTTCAGGGGTTGGGAGGTGCATGGAGAGATGCTCCATGTCTTCCAGTCTCTCTCCCAGAGTTTGTGGATCCCAGGGTGAGATTCTCAGCTGTGCTGTGCTCTGTCCTGCCAGCAGGACCTGAACGAGGTGGTTTAACCCTCACATATTGCCCTGTTGTACTGACATAGTGTAGCCTCTCCTTCCTGAGAGGAAATAGGGAACTACCAAAAGAATAAGGATGCACACAAACACACACACTCATCCACTTTGTTCCTCTGGGTTTGGTTTAACTGTGGTCTGACCAGTGAATTTTCTCCCGGTCCTGGATCCAGTCCCTCCCTCCCTGCTCAGAAATGTGCAGCTATTTCAGTTCAAGCTGGAGATTATTCCTCCGTTTCATCGCAGAAAAGTCACTTTTACTGACCTTGTCATCAGATCCAGCCTTCCAAATGTTCAAGTCATATCCCCAAAGGAGACTCTCCACACAGAGGGGCAGGGGGAAGGAGGCATTTATGTGCATTAAATCCTCCTTGACGTTCACGTTCAGCACGGGGGGAGCCAGTTCCACTGCAATTGAGAGACCAGACATGAGAGTGGCTCTTGCCTGGGTCTTACCTTCCCAGCAGTGATGCTTTCTGTGGCTGATCCTCACTTCTCTTACCATGTGATAGGCATGAAGGAAGGAGGGAGGCAATGCAATACCTCTCTTTTATCCAACATAGTCCTGCTGCTATGTGGAAAGCTCAAAAACCAATTTGCTCGCCTAGAACGTGGACAAATTGACTCTTGCTACAAAACTCATGTTCACCTGGGCAGGGCTCATTGTTTGTGCTCACTCAAATCTGTGTGACTCTTAAAGCTCCTGGTTACTGTTTCTGTGGTGTGTGTGGTCTACTCATTTGCTGAGCCAACACTGTTGCTGGGATGTCCTTCCAGCCAGGCTGGAGCCGGACAGACACTCACCAGCAGAGTGGTAGTCCTTGGACTGTGATTCCACCCACGGCGACTGAAGTCGTCCCAAAACAGCCTTGACCCGAGCCTGGATTTTAACATAGACATCTGGATACACACAAGTCAGGTTGCAAGAGGTTCTGACAATGTTTTTGCAGTGAGGAACCTTTTTCCATTGGCTCCTGCGTTCCTGGCTGAAAGAAAAGACAAAGATACCATATTAAATGTGTTGGTTTGTTGTAATTTACAGAGCAAGAGAAGGAATGGGTTTGGAGGATGAGTTCCAACTCTCGCTCAGAGTTTGGAGCAAGATGGGTAAGGTTTGGTTTTGGTGGAAGGATGCAGCCAGGTCACTGATCATGGTGCCACTGATTAACAGAGGTGCACACTTGTCTGCCCTGTGCCACAGCTTCAGTCAGACATCATTTGTGAGCACTTACCTTGCATACCTCACAGTGTACACCACATCTGGTGGAGAGTCTCCTCCTGGAGCCCACGTCAAAATCATGTCAAAATCCTTCGACAGTAGTGTAACATTTTGAGGAGGGAGAAGTTGAACATGACCTGATTGAAAGGGAAATTTATGTGAATGGTTTAAACAGATAGAATAGAATCATAGAATCAACCAGGTTGGAAGAGACCTCAAAGATCATCAAGTCCAACCCTACTATGAGCACTAGACCATGGCACTAAGTGCCACATCCAGTCTCATCTTGAAAACCTCCAGGGATGGTGAATCCACCACCTCCCTGGGCAGCACATTCCAATGCCTGAGCACTCTCTCTGTAAAAAATCTCTTCCTAATATCCAACCTAACCCTCCCCTGGCAGAGCTTTGAGTCTGTGCCCTCTTGTCCTGGGAGAAGAGACCAACCCCCACCTGACTATCTTTGGGGACAGGAAATGTCACCTGGCTTTGACAGGTCAAAATGTAAGGCAGAGCAGCTCAGTTCATTCAGGACTGGAAATTGTCTGTGGAAGCAGCTGTGATGTAGTCATGTTTTCCTCATCTCTTATAAAACATCTTCATCTGAACAGCTTTTAGAATTAGGACCCACATTTGTGTGAACCATCGATTTTATAATCTTGAGTGGCTTTCCCTGTTGTCTCACTGCACAAACTCCAACTTGTGCTTTCCCCTGGATGAGGCAGACACAGCTGTGCCACACTGCTCATTCCATCCCAGTCCTTCAAAGGCAGATCCTTCCAGGAATGCAGCAAGATGCAGCATGGACTTTGCTGGCACCTATTTTTTCTATGTCCATTGTAACCCTCAACAAGACACTCTCTATGGACAGATTTTAAACTGTCATTTCTTTACTGTGGAATATTTCGCTTTACCTGAATGATTCCCATTCAAACAGCTTAAAATTTACCTGTATATGTCTTTCTTCCTACAAGCAAAGCCACACAGCAAAGGAAAAGCACAAAGAGATGTACATACCTTGAGCCTGCTGCAGGAAGCACAGTGCCATCAGGACTTGGCCCTCCAGGTGCCAGAGTAGAACTTTCCACTTGCAAGACATTTCTTTTCTTGATGCCTTTTCATCAGGTTGTTTTCTTGTATGAAGTTCTATGAATTCCAGAGGATTATGGAGTTACTGACACACACACATGCGCACAGCCTGTCTTCCTGGTGCAGCCTAAGGACAGCCCTGCACGCTGGCTAGGGAAAGGAGCAAGTGTGAGAGGGTTTGGGCGAGAAAGAAAGTGTAAAGGTTGCAGTGCTACGCCCTCCAGTGCTCCTCAGCTGAGCCCTGTCACAGGAGAACAGTGCAGCCTGAGCTTGTGTTAATAACTTCACCTTTGGAACTTACCTGTGTGGCTGTGAAATATTAATAGGAACCAAATAAGGTTCTACTGCAGGAGATATCTAATAATAACCCAGGAACAATAAAAACCAGTAGTATGGGGTACTGTGATAGTCTGGTGTTGACAAGAGATAAGAGTTTCTGTTCATTTACGTTACCATAGTGTTTTTCAGGAGTTAGGGAATTGCTTCACTTTACAGATGGGTGTGTAAAGTGCAGAATTGGGTGAGGGAACTGCCCCATGCCACCGTGGGTGAATGAAAGGGCACAGATCCATCTGCTGAATCCTGTGACTTCGTTGAATGCCAGAGCTGCAACTTCCCTGTACCTTAGTTACCACTTTGCATTTATTTGTCATCATCCCAAAATTATCACTGAGGATCAGGAGCTGCTGCCAGGACTGTGCCAGCACACAGATGGTGCTTGGTCCCTGCACTGCTGGATCGATGAGCAAACTGCCTGTTGGCCTTGGCATCTGCAGCCACGAGGCTCTCGAGGTGTTTGTGTTCTCACCACATGGTACCTTTCAACTCCAGAGCTCTCCTGGGGCACAGCCCAGTGCCTGAGTTGCTGCTGTATGTTACAGCCTCACAGTTCTTCCTACAGCAAAGCCACAGAGCAGCAGTTTTGTTCTGTGTCTATCAGTAGGAAACATCCTGGTTTAGCCACACTACCAAGTGCAAGGTGCCCAGGTGTATGTGCTTGTAACAGCTGTGTCATTGCATCCTGTGCACAGGGAGAGAAGGAGGAAAAGTGCTGGATCAGTTGTGCTGTTTGGTTGTTAACTCTGCTCTCCTGCTTTCCCATCACAGTCACCTCCAGGCCCGTGCCATGAGGAAAAGGGAATGAGTCAATGAAGTTACCACACAGGAGATTTACACCAGCTTAGAGGAAAGGGATTTTCCTGGGTCTTGCCCAGGTGGAACACTCACCCAGCCCAGCAGATAGCCTGTGGCTGTTCCTGTGAGAGTTGAGCTCTGGGTGCTAAGTGGGAGCAGAGCTGATGGAGCTGGGTTTGTGTTGGCCAGAGCCTGTGTGTTTGCCATGAAGGTGTCAACTGTCTCATTTTCCTGAGCATGGCACGATTCAAACCATAGGACACTCAGTTACAAGTCTGTTCAATCACAGTTTTCTCCAAAAATCTCCGTTTCTTCTAACCACATGTTTCTGCTACCAGTACTTTTCTTGTCCCTTTGGTGTTAATTTCTATGTAGCTTCTATTACTCATGCAAAAAAAAAAAAACCAACCCTCAACAACAAACCAACTATGAGGAAAAAAAAGCAAGGTGAAGGGTCTGGAGGGTCCATTCCTCTTCAACATCCCAACTGCAGAGCTCATGCTTCCCGTAGCAGCCTGGCCAAAATCAGCAGCAGTTCTAGTGCCAGTCATGAAGGTCTTGCTAAGAGCCCTCAGGCAGCTTCTCTCAAAGATGACGTATGAGTTTTGTAAGTGTTTACAAGAGGTGAATCTTATCATCATCATCTCTATTTCCTGTGAAACATCTGCCCTGAAATCTGGGCTCCCCCAGCCTCTGTGGCAAAACTCCCCCTGATCTGAGAACAACCGAGAACGTGTCCAGGGAAAAGCAGGTGCGTTGCTGGCAGCAGATCGGGATGGGAGGGAAGAGGTGGCCAATGCCACGAGGTGTCGCTGCCTATCAAATAAAACAGAGACTCTCCAAGCCACAGGAGCTCAGAGACACCCATTTAAACCCTAGCAAACCACTAAAACTCCTTCTGTGCTCCGCATTGCCCAGGGCTCTCCTCCCGGACAGTGACCTACTGAGTGCTTCCCATAGCATCTTCTCATGGTGGGCATTGTACACCCAAAGGTTTGCTAGCCTGTCTCTGGTGCCCAGACAGGTGCTGTCACCTGTGTGAAGGGCAGGACACATATTTGCACCCATCAGTGTGCTGGGAGCCTGCTGTGATGCCTTTATGGTGCTGGCAGGGATGCAGAGGATGGATAACACCCTCACTGGGCAAATCATGCAGCTGTGTCTATGTTCTCCCACTGGTTTATTCATATGGAGCTTGAATATTCAAATATCATTCAGGAACCATCTGGACACAATCCTGTGCCATGTGCTCCAGGACCAACCTGCTTGACCCTGCTGTGGTTCCTTCCCACCTGAACCACTCTGTGATTGCGTGAGATGCTTTGGGTTGGGATTGTCATTCCCGATGGCTCATCGTGGCTCTGTCGGATGGTGTTGTCATTGCACAGTGCAATGCCTCATCCTGCACCTTTCCATGCTCTGTGATGCTGATGATCCCTGGGGGACTCTCTCAATTTGCACCTCTCTGCGTGCCATAGATGATTCAGCCCACGAGGGCAAACCCTGCAACCACTCCTGAGTCAGACTGACAGGTATCTGCCCTTCTTGAGGAAGGACATTGCAGGAAATAGTGTTACTCTTGTGAGGAGGGCACAGCTGGGGCTGGGGCTTGGTTTTGTGAAACCTTTGGAGGCAACAGGCAGCACCAAGTACTGCCATCCCAGCTCCTTCCTTTTGCTCTTACCCCACCCACACAGCTGTTCTGGCAGAACTGTGTGTGCTGTGTTCTGAGAGCTTGGGAGGATGACTGAGCCCATTGAGATAAAGAAAAAAAAACCATATTAAAAACTGGAACAGAGCATTTCTGGTAGGGATGACACCATGGGAAAACAAAGCACTGATCCGTAAGCGCAGCAAGCTTCACATTTCCAGTGTGCTCCTACATTTCCATCACCACTGCATTGTGAGAAGGGCTGGATGAATCATGGAATCACAGACTGGTTTGGGTTGGAAGGGACTGTAAAGCTCATCTCATTCCACCCCCTGCCATGGGCAGGGACACCTTCCACTAGTCCAGGTTGCTCCAAGCCTCATCCAACCTGGCCTGGAACACTTCCAGGGATGGGGAATGTTTTCATTACTTAAATAGCCTTCAGAAATAGCCTCCACACAGTCTTCTCCAGTTGGTTTCTGCTCCTTTCAGAAGTGCTGAGAGCTTTTCTTTTCCCAAATGAAACTGGAAGGTGTATTTGGAGAAGGTTTATATTGAAACACTGGAAAGGTTCAACTCCACATTTCGATTTCTTTAGGCCAAAAATGATTCTTCTCTAGCAGCTCTGAGAGTCCTGTGCTAGGTGAGATTACTCAGCTGCAGAAGGGAGAGGAGGTGGCAATTGTCACAAACATTCTGAGCATTGAAAGTCTCAGGGAATGAGAGTGGCATTTCCAGTAGTCATGACTGGATGGTTGGAGAAGTTTTTTTCAGGAATGTGATCCAGATAAAAATTATTCCAAAAGCAGTTTTTGCCTAAGATCTTCATCACCGAGTGACTCAAGCCTTTAGTCATTCAGACTCAGCTCTTTAAATGGCCTTTTCCTTCCCTGCTGTTTAATTAAGTTCTGCACTTGGCTGAGGGTGTGATGCCACAGCCAATGTTGGCAGCACCTGCAATCTGTCCCTCTCCTGCTTGTGGCTGCTGTCCCTGTGCTCACAGCCTGGGAGGCAGCACAGCCCCCTTGGCATTCCTCGGTGTTCTCCGGAACGTCGCCCTAGATCCCTCTGCACACGGATGTGTACACAGGGACTGTGCACACAGGGGCTGAGCCACAGGAAACATCAGTGACTTGGCTGTAGCAGCTCAGAGCTGCAGCTTGTGCAAGCCCAAGGCTTGGAAAATAGTGTCCTTCCCTTGAGGAGCAACCTGCAGAGCTGCCTAGGGGAGGTGAAGTCTTCACCGGTGTGAGATTGCTTTTCT